CCCCCGCCAGTCACTACGGCAAAACCAACTATTTCAAGAAAAGAATTTCTGACAAAGCTGACCATGCTAGAAACACATAACACATAACACTCGTGCATAACACCATAACGTTTTTATCCCACTGCTGTTGCCTTTTGACGTTGAGTTTTGAAAAAGGAGATTGGAATACTCATGATTAGGACACATGTCATAGCGAACGCTCAAAAGACTCTTCTAAGTTAGAATGCATCGAAATTTCACAAAATCACGAACCCCCTCATGCAGCAAAATTGTTTGCACCGTCTCCAATAGATTCAAATGGCTGAAATAACTGTTGACCGTAAGTTGGCCCAGTGCCGTATCCTGAAAGGTCTTTCAAACGATAAAAGTAGGCAACGAACACAAGAGCTCTAAGTAATTCGTGCAAGCTTGTAAAGAAACCTCCAAGAGTATAGTTGGTAACTTCCGGCACTTCAGCCGTGCTCGTTTTCCTTTGCGGCGACCCACCCTCCGATGAGAAAGCAGACGACGATGCAGGAGAGGACTGGGTGACTGCAACAGAGGTTTTGAAGAACAGTTTAGAAAGCTTATTATGGTGTGGAGCCAACCGGAATTGACTCTTGAACGAAATCCACTGTCTTCATCGTCTTCCTTCTCTTTTTTCTTCGACGCGAACATGTCAAACGGATCGATATCCACTGGCAACGATGATCTAGAAACCAAATTGCTGTCTTTTCTTGAAAGCTGCTTGCTACTCGCGTGCAAGCGGGAAAGACAAGGACCTTCTAGCAGTGGCATGATAGTCTAAGTCATATATGCCGCCGTTGTCCTTGATCGACGATTCAAATGAGAACATTCCTTCACCTTCCGAAGGTATGAAGGAAAACGCATCGAATGGTGAATGAACTGAGACCATCTAGAAAAGAGTTGCAGATATTCGAAACGCAGAATTTTTCATTCAAAGCCAAAATTCAGTTCTTACTATTTCATTTTGGATGGGAGCGATGTAGCATTGTCGGCATTGATCGAGATGACGTCTCAGAGCCAACGGTGATCTGTAAGCGTAGAAAACCATAAGAAGGCTACAAGCAGCGGATAAAAGTTCAGTGCCTGAATATTCCGAAGCACTCCTCACAACGACGAGGACCAACGTCAGCATGAACTTGGGAATGACGGCGAAGCCCACGATCGCACTCGAACGCCTGATTTTTCAGCCATTTCGATCTTCAGTGAAAACATGATATTACGATTATCACCTGTCGACAGCAGCCACATTTGTAAGGAAACATGTCTTCTCGCGAATGAGCAGCAGAATGGCGCATCAGTGACGCTTCGGATGGAAAAGTTAGACGACATTTGCGACAGGTATGGAGCTGAAGAGAACTGTTTGTGCCGTTTGACACCAGCAATCGCTTACTGACATGAGTGGTACGAGTTGGGTGTGGCGCAAGAGGAACGATAGCTATTGCCAGCCGCT